GCCTCTCTTTGTCCAAAAAAGGCAAAGAAAAGAGGACATTAGAAGGCTTATAGAGCTTGAATCTTAAACTGACCTGCAATCATTCTTATTTGGCAAGAAATATAACTCAAATCATTCAAATGGGAGTAAATATAGAACTAAAGAAGCAATTAACATTACTAGTATTTGAAAAACCCTGTCAGTCCAAGCTAAACTAGATGGCTGAAAATAATAGAAATTATAGCGATCCCGGGTTTACCCTTGTTGTACAGTGATCCGGACATGTGTCCGTGGATGTTGGTAGTTGTTTATTATCTTGTTTGCATCCTCTTTACTTTGTATATTGAGTTATGGATGTGTTGGGCAGGTTTGTCACACTGCTCCCTCAACTTCTTCCTAACCGTGGGAGGTAAGAACTTATCTTGAAAGACGTTGACAAAAGCCTTCTAAGTCACTCCAATGCGCCCACGCGCATACATCCACCATTGACCCGCATCTCCCTTCAGCTAGAAAGATGCCAAGGTCACTCTCAACAGGTCGTCCCTAATGCTGAGTATCTCAAACGTCTTCATCATTTGCTCGAGCCATTCATCCGCTTTCAATGGCTCCACAAACTCGTCCAAATTCGACCGGAAAAACTCTTGCTTTAGAAAAGACAGCCCCGTCTCAGCAACATGGGCTTGGACTTGATTTTCAGCTCTACGAATGTCCATGGATTCCCGCAATGCTCCGGCCATTTCGTGGGCTAAGGTGCCCATGGCCTGTTGACCTGTCAGTTCCGCCACATTGGCCTATCCAACTTCCTCCTCTTGTGTCGGAATATCATTTGGTATCAACACCTCCTGCCGTCTAGGCCTACTACGCCTACCACATGTTGACATCCTAATGAAGGTAACAAAAGATATTAGCATATTTACAAATGTGCCAAAGCTAACTCACTCGCATCCTAAATAATGGTCATCCTGCGACATTACCAGAGTTCCAATTAGAAACAATAGTGATCAAGTACTCTTCTAATAGGACTTCTAAAAATCCGTAGACCCAATCAATATCTTAGGAATTAAATCTCATACCCATATAATCACATAAGCGTGTTATCACATAGCATTACAAACATACAAACATCTCTATCAAACGAGATAAACCCATTGTGGTAAAAACCACTTCCCACATACCTTTAGTATTCAAACCTGGTACACTCTGATACCAAGTTGTAACGTCCCAAAATAATGCCATAAACCATCTACAACGATAAGTAAATAATAATATACATCAAAGTATAATATCTTTCTATTACATAAGATTTGGTTGTACAAAAGGGTGACACATGCGAATATACATTCATAAGTCATAACCTTGAATCTATAGCATGTGTCAACAACAAAGAAATGAAATAGAAGTTAAATAGATAATTGAAATTACTTGAAGGCTACAACTTTCCTAGACAGTACTTGATTACATCACAACGGATTTAAATTCAATACAAAATAAGCCCTAGGCTTAATAATAAGAAGTAAACAAAATGAAGCTCTTGCTTCAATCCTCCCAAGCTACTACCTTGGCGAAGGCATCTCACCAATACCTAAAAATATTTTTCCTATATAGGGTGAGCCAAAACCCAGTAGAAATAATCCAACACAATATATTAATCTTAATAAAGATATAAGGGTAAAATGTATATGCAATGCTCATGACAAAACAATTTATATCTTTCCCAAAAGCCACATAATGCTGGGTCTATGTCATAGTTCTCCAAATCATTTCCTTTAAAATAGAAAATAGGGGGAAACTCAACTTCGTATAGCCTTTCACGGATATTTCGTCCGCGGGAAACCGTCAAACGGGACCCATGTAAACGTAGGCTATGCAAGCCCTACTATTACCATTTTACGGATATTTCGTCCGCAGAAATTGGCACCTATGTATGTGCGCGTTTTTCAGGACTTTTACCCTGGACACATAGGCCAACTTAATTTGGTGATGCACACCTCATTCCTACATTCACCCATTTTTCTCAAAATCACATACATGTATAATTTTTGCTCACCCTAGACACATAGGCCAACTTAATATTTTGCTCACTACGAAATATACACATTTTCATTCACTACAAGAATATATAATTTTTATGTATTAGTGTTGGCCATCTATCAATTGCTAATCTTTTAGTCATTGTTCATGGTTGGTTTAGTGTATTTCTACTGGGCTGTGGCTCACCCTATATGGGAATATCATTTTCAGGTACAGGTAGCATGCCACCTCCAAGGACATAGCTTGGGAGGCTAGAGGCGGGCACACTATTGTCGTTATCTTTTTGAAGTATTACATGTAATTTCAAGCCAAGGGCTTTATGTGTAAACGAGTTAGAACTCTTTGTTGTAACCAAGTGTTAACTTGGAAAGCTGTAAGCCTGTAACGCATTTTGCTTTTGTTGTTAACATGTAATACTTTTGTATGAAACTTTGATGTATAATGGAAGAGTGTGGAGCTTTTACATATTAATGCATGTCTCATTGTTGGGTTTAATGTTTTTATTTTGAGGGCGTTACAGAAATTGCACAAGGAATCCTAGAGAACTAAGACTTGAGGCCTTCTCAAGATGAATCCTTGAGATGGCAAAGTGTTCAAGCAACACAAATAGGGTCTCGCCTAGGCTTAAAAGAAACATTGCGGGTGTGCTTGGTTTATGTTTTGAAACATGTTTTTGGAAGAAAATTTTCAAAAACATATTTGGTTATAAATTTTCTCAAAAAAATTCTAAAATTACTTCTCTCTCTATGACACATCAATCAATCACTTTTTATCTCTCCTCTCTCTTTTTCAATCACTTTTTCTCTCACATACATTTACTCAATTACAACAAAATATCAAATTATCCCAAACTCCCAAACTCTAAAATTATTTTCAAAATATACAACCAAACAAATTTCTAAACTCTTTCTCCAAATAATTTTTTTAAAAAAATTTACCTCAAAACACAAACGAAACACACCTTGCAAGTCTACGACAAGGGCCTACAAATCTAGGGAAGATGACTTGATAGTTTATGCATCATAATTTGTGTCATCTAATATTGACAATACTGGTAGCAACACCACAAACAATTCAAATAGAACACTTTAAGAGGAATTGAGGAAACTCTAATTGAACCTTCATCAATAACCACCAGGGTTGGTGGCTTGGTGGAGAATGCAACGCATTCCTCAGCACTAAGCCAGGGTCGATTCCTGGGGGGTGCAATGAGATCTTTGTTGAGAGCTTGTCCTGTACTCCGCTCGACACCTGTTGAGCTCCATTGATGCCTTGGTGGTGGGTCCCTTCCAATGGGTTGGGTTAAATCTGGCTGGCAACCGGCTATCCCGGGGCCAGGGCCCGCGGAGGCTATGATGACACCACAAAGCTTTCTTTCTTTTTTTTTCGTTCAAAAAAAAAAAAAAAAACCTTCATCAATAACAATACCAGGGAAAATTGAATCATTACATTGATTAAATTTTCTATATTTCATTGCTTCAACTGCTAGTTTTTCATTCTAACATTCTAAGGTCTAACAGTTTGGGGAATGGTACCATGTCATCCAGAAAAAACTAGCTTTGATTTGGGAATTTAAGTCTTCACATGATGTATTCTCTCTGTAATTTTTTTCCATCTTAGTTGTGTAAAAGAAAGAGGTACCGCTAGAGACAAAAGAACAATTTCAAGACATTTGGCTCAAATGAATGGCCTAAAACACCTCAATATCTGTACAAAACCAAAGGTCTGAGAATTTATCTACACAGATACACATTCTATACATACCTAAATGTCTGATGGTGACACAGGCCAGCATAGTAGGGACTTTTTTAGGGCAGAATTTAATTAGTCTTTGGCTAAAGTTTGGCAAAAACATGGGTTCTCAAAGGGTTTTCAATCGTTTAATTTAAAGAGGCCTTGTTTGGGAAGTTGGCTATTTTAGTTGGCTTTTTTACTATTTTATCTTGGCTAAAAAAGTTGTATTTGGGAAGTTGGTTGGCTTTTTTTTTTTTTGGGTAGTTGATTTGATGGTTGTGAGAAAAAAAGCAAAATAATTATGGGTAGAATGTGACATTTTGTCTTATTGGTTATTTTAGCTTATTTTGTCTTTTGCTATTTTAGCTCAACCGTCTTCCCGAACAGGTTTGGAGGCTTAATTAAAGGCAAAAGTTTGGGCTGTTCTAGGGCTGTGAAGAGTATGTGTAACTTGGAAATTATCGTGGTTTTATGGTCCTACGGTTAATTACTTGGGAGGAAAGGAATTTGATTAGATAAAAATGCTCAAAAAAGGATTTGAAAAGATCCAGTTGCAGGTATCGAAGTGCAGAAATCTCAGAAAAGAGAAGAACCTACTCATAGGTCTTTTACGAATTACACCTTGGGCTTAGATTGAAGAACACAATCCAAAAGGGGCTCCTAAAGCCTTAACAAATCTTGACTGATTTCTCTTGATTAGGAAGCATTACATTATTATCTATATGAGCAATCTTCATTTTAATAGGACTTTGGCTTCAAATTAGAAACTTAAGAATTAGTCCTTTACAACCTATCTAAACCAACTAAAAACCACATATGAAGACCAAATTACATAATTTGATCCAAGCTACAACCTACATGCAACCACTATATCCTATGTATTCTTGAAATTACTCAAGTATCTTTGGCACAAGGGTACCAGCAACATTTAACTCAATCAAAACTTGATTTCCAAATGTACAAAGTGGGCTCTATCTTGAGATTCAACCAATCTATCTTTTATGCTTTAAGCTTGCTCTTTCTTGAGCATCTTATCTACTATTTCTGCATCACCGACTATAGGTGATACACTAGAAATAATCGCAATTCACTTGCATCAAACCATGCAAATCAGGTCAATTTTATGATAAATCACTAACACTAGGAAATCAAAAATCTGAAAGCTGTTAAGGTATGTGTATATATATGTAATATATACAAATGTATGCACACATGCATGTGTTCGTACTTTCTTTCCAACTATGCAAGCATGGACGTAAAATCAAGAGAGCATTGTAAATCGATTTTCAGATTTCACAAAATGTTATTTGATTCAATACAGATAACATCATTTGTAACAGTAGGAACAAATGGCAGGAGTCCTGTAGTAAACATGATTAATAAACAAAAAGTCATGCACCTGTATAGAGTCATCAGGACCACTTGAAGTCAATAATTTGCGAGCAGTAGCCAGTCATGATTATAGAAACAATAAGATTTATCATCAACGTTGCAAAGCTAGTGCTTCCATAAAGAAAATCCCCGCTCTCTCACAAAATTTCTAGTTTCAGGTTGTCGTAGAAAATAACGCATTCCTCAGCACCTTCCTGGAGGTCCCCCTGCTTTCATTGCCTGACTGACTCAGATCCACTTGATTGTCTTTTGAATCTATCACCTCATAGTTTGCAATTTGTTTACCTGACTTCCAAGTCTGAAGCATCTCATCTAACTTTGGTTCCGGCAAAAACTTCTTTTCTTTCATTTCTTCGTTATATTTATATGCTTCCTCCAACTTTCCATTCAAAAAGAGCCCATGTATCAATGCAATGTATGAGCTTCGGTCAGGGCCGCCATACTTGCTCATCTCACTCCACAGCTTGAGGACATTATTGAGTTGCCGCCATCGACAAAACTTTCTAATCAACATGATGCAAGTATCATTGTTTGGATGACAGCCCATCTTAGTCATCTTTTCCAAGAGTCCAAACACTTCTTCTCCAGTTCTTAGAATACGAAAGAAGGCATGGTAAGTACGAATGGTAGGGGATAGACCACGCTGTAACATCTCATGGAAGACCTCTCGGGCTTCATCTACTTGGCGGGCCCTGCAGAGAGGCTTGATAAGTGAGTTATAAGTCACAACATTCAGAGCAATACCCTTTTCTTCCATTGTTTTCAAGAGATTGCAAGCATCCTTCACATGCCTGCCTTTAGCAAGAGCGTGAATGACTGCATTGTAAACTTTCCTATCAGGAGCAATATCAAGTGCCTTCATCTTGTTGAAAAGCTTAAGCACCTCATGGAGGTTACTGGATTTTGAATAGCAAGAAATGATACTTGAATACGATATGACATCGTGTGCAACACCTCTGTCATTCATCTCCCTCCAGATTCTCTTTGCCTCACGTGGACTACAGATAATGTTACACCATCCATTGAGAATAATGTTAAAGCTCTTGGTATTAATTGGGAAAACATTTTCGTTGCAGAAGAGCATATGCTCCGCATCTTTCACATTTTTGTACCTACATAGGGCGGAAAGAAGGTTGTGGAATTCCTCCATCCCAACATCAAATTTGAACAGTTTATGAGCATAGAAAGTGTTTATAGCCTTCCCAACCTCATGTACAGCACAGTATCTCCTAATCAAGATCAACAACGTCTGAGGAGTCACAAGAGATTGATCAGTCCTACCACCCCTCATTTCATCAACCAAGGCCCAAGCAGTGTCAAACTTTCTCATTTTTGCGAGAATTGAAATCATCGAGTGGTATTCACGCAATGAAGGTGCATAATTCGGCTGTTTTGCAGCCCAGAGAAAGAAAGTGAATGCTGATTCCCAGTCATTGCGCACCCGAGAAAGAACCTCCACAACTAAATCCGATGAGGCAGTGACATTACACTGCTCGAGCTTGTTTTTCACTTGAGGTCTATTGCTTCCTGGGTCCTGTAAAATATCCAAAATGGTTGCTACATTTGGGGCAAGACCCTGATCTCGGAAACCAAGTTGTCCATCTGGGTTGTCATCATCATCATCAAATTCACTGTTTTCACTATTGTCACCATCAACATTTCGATTTTTGAAGACTGAGGAAGTAAATGATGAAAGAAAGATTGTGAACCCAGGAGATCTCAAAGGGCCTGTAACAATTCCAGTAGAGTAAGAAGGGGGGCTCAAGTTAAATTGGATTGGATTAAGACATTTTGAATTGAAATGGGTACGAAGAGTAACAGAGAACAAGGTGAGAGTAAATCTTCTTCTGACTTCCCCCAACATCACTCCATTTCTAGCTTGAATTTCTCCATTAACATACAAAACCACAAAGTTCTCTCGAGCACCAACTGTTCGATAAAATAACTAAATGAACACAAATATATCGATATTATAGACCGAGTATCAATTCCTTCTTACCTCCCTCTCTCTCTCTCTATCGGTGAGACTGGAATGCAAATTCTTTCGATCACTTCAGATAACTCACAAATCATGGATTGTGCTAATCTACAGAAAACATAAAAAAGTTGCAAGAATTTTGAGTTAAAAAACCAGTTCTTCGAGGAGTTGTAAAGAAGCACAACAAAGGTGTGTGGGGTAGGGGTGAAATTGGACATTCAAATTCTTTTTATTCCAATGAAATTGGGCTTGTATTTTTCACTACTATCTTCTTTTTATTCTACCAATATATATGTATATATATATATCATAACCATAAAACGATTAATTTCTCCAAATAAATTATGGTTTTAAAATGCAAAATTAAGGTTTTCATTTGAATAAGAACTTGAAATTACCTTAGTTTCGTCTCGAATTAGCTACATGAACATCAACTTCTCAGCGATGAGAGTGAAGAAATCCGTGCGAGTCAATGAGTGTGCGTTCCCTGATTCAGATGAATGATGGTAAGAGGAGGGTAAGAGAGAATGATGAATCGATAATGGAGATAGAATGAATGACGTGATGATGGATCGATTTTGATGCAGAAACCATAAGTCGAGAGAAACCCAACCATTGTTGGCAGAGAAGAGAGAGAGAGAGACTGAGTTGATGATGCGAGAGAGAAGGAAGATAGAGAGAACTGTTTTTACCGTGTGTGAATATAGTAAAAATTATATCCAAGTTTTTATTAAATTTCTTATACGAGTGTGTGACACTAGCGTGGGTTTATATGAATGTTCGCATTCATATAAAATATTTGATTTAATTTTTAATAAAAGTTTCAGACGTGCTACCTAGTCCGAATGGATAGGGGTTTAATTGTCCCAAATTTTCAACGACATCGTTTGATTACTATTATTATTATTTTTCTTATTTTTCTCGTTTTCTTCTTCCTTCACTCTTTTCTTCCTTCCCTCTCTTCTCCCTTCCCCCTCTATACTCAGCTGCTCTAGAGCTCAAAATCAACAACTCAAAAAAATTAACAAAAAAATTTAACAAACAAACTCAAAATAGATCACCAATAAATCACCAATTGCAGAGATATAGAGAAGAACATATCACCAATAAATTTGTTTTTCTTAAAAACTCAAAAAAATCTCACAAATCACCAAATTTACACAAATCAAAAAAATCAAAATCAAAATTTAAAAAAAAAATGAGGAGAAGAGAGAAGAACAAAGAAAGAAGATGAGGAGAAAGAGAAGAGGAAGAAGCCGACTCCGTCACCCATCGCCATTGCTCTGTGTGTATACACAGATCTGTGTATACACACACACAGCCCGTCGTCTCGTCGTTGCCATCACACAGCCCGTCGTTCCGTTGTCACCATCACGCCATTGCTCTTCTCTCTTCCTCCCTCTTCTCCCTTCTCGCTTCTCCTTTCTCCTTTCTCTCTTTTCTCTTCTCCCTGTTTAAGAAGAGGAAAAAAAAAATTGAAAACGATGTCGTTTTCAATCTCGGGGCAATCGAGCTTGGAATTTTCGAGCCCTCAAGCTTTATTGTAAAATTTTTAGATCTCTATCATTTTTGTTTCTGAGTAATGCTAGGGAGCTCGAAAATGAGCTCCCCCGAATCCCCCTAATTTTATTTTTTTTTATTTTTTTTTCCAGAAGCAGAGAAGGAGAAGAGAAGAGAAGGAATGAGGAGGAGGAGGAGGAGGAAGGAGGAGGGAGGAGGAGGACTGGAGGGGACCATAACCACAGGGGGAGGAGGAAGCGGAGGCGGGGCCGGAGCTGCGACGAGCTGACGGGTTGCGACGGGCGACGGGCTGTTGCTGCGACGAACGGTCTGCGATGAGCTGACGATCGGCGATCGGAGCTGCTGCTGCGACGACGGCGTTTGGAGGCGGTCGGAGCTGTTGCTTCCCTCTTTTCTCTCCCTCTTCCTCTTTCTCTTCCTCTCCCTCCCTCTCCCTCTCCCTCTCCCTCTGTCTCAGACTCGTTGAAGAAGAAAAAGAAAAAGAAAAAAAAAAAAAAAGCTTCGTCACTCGAATTTTCTCAAAAAAAAAAACAGAATGCCCAAAACGACGTCGTTTTGGGCATTTGGGGGATTAGGGGGAGAAAATTCGAGCGACGAAGCTTTATTCTTTGTTTCTTGTTTGATTGACACACGTGGATAAATGAATTCTTATTCGGTGCGGTTTAGTCCATTTTAGTATACTTTTTTTTAGAATCGTGGGCCAAATCGTAACCAATAAAATTAAAAAATATAAACTATCAATCCAATAAAAAAAGATAGTGATAGAGAGCTCTAATACTAGAGTTATAACATGAGCTCTAGTGAGGTGTCAAATAAAAAGATAAAAAAAAAAAAAAAACTAAAATATCACATCATCACGTGAGATCCACTATTAGAACTCTTAAATTAAAGCTCCCAAATATTATTGATAAAAAAAATCAAAGTAGACCACGAACCTTTTGGTTTGGTTAGGTCAGACAATTGATTCGGTTTTAACGGTTATCCGTTCAACCCTAGTGTGGGATTCTATTTGTATCTAAAATATTATTCAAGACAATTTTTTAATACTTTCTAATAAATTATTTAGAGTTATAATTTATTTTTAATATATCTTATATTTTTTTCACAAATTACCTTTTAAATAAAATCGTGATTTATGATATACCTAAATAATAAACAAATCAAAAACCTAAAATTACACTGTTTGGGAAAATCATTTCAATTGACTAATTAGTACAATCCTAATTCATCATTGTAGGTACCTGAAACTCATTTGCATTGCTGAAAGTTCGTTTTATTTATTTATTTATTTTTTAAAAAAATATTTTGGTTTAAATTCATAAAACCTTTGAGTGTGCACACGCTCCCGCCGCACTGCATATATGTTCAAGTACCTATTGAACGAAATTAAAGCTATAGATTTTGTATTAGAAGTTATGAATTTTAATCTTTTGTACAATATTTAAGATTTGGATTGTTTAAACTTTTTTATATTTGTAAATAACAACACAATAACAAACAATGATATTGATGATAATAATGAGTTTTGATAAGATAATTAGAGTTTTGGAGTGAGTGAGAAAGATAAAGAGAAAATAATTGAAACTCACGAAAGAAGATGAAAAGACTTGACTATCAAGAACACATATGAGTGATTAAAGTATACTATGAGAAAAAAAAATATTTATTTTAAGATTTAATGTGTATTATTCTTATTAATAAATTTATATTAAGATATAATAGGAACTAAATTTTCAAAATTTTAACTAAGTATAGGTCAAGTTTGGCATGTTCCAAAAAAGTCAAAAAGTCAAAAAGTTACTCAAAAAGTTAAAAAGTTATCACTATTCACCAAAAAAAATAATAATAAATTAATTTTTCATACAAAATTACAACTCAAAATCTGACATGTTCAGCTCTATTGATGCGTTTGTTAAGAAAAAATTGCACGATTTGAGTGCAACTTTCACACACTGCTGTTCGGCCCGTGGGGGCTCATCATGGGTGCCGTTTTGATAATCTGAACCGTTCTAATGTGTAGAACTCATCGAGTACTATATGTCTGTTAAAAATCACATTGATCGGATATCGATAACTACATAATCAAATCAGTTTTGTACAAAAAAGATAATGGTGTTATAATTAACGATTGAAAAAAAAACAAATCTGATCAGATAGCTATCGATATCTGATCAATGTAATTTTTTATAGGCATATAGTACTCGACGAGTTCTACACATTGAACAGTTTAGATTATCAAAATAGGACCCGTGATGGCCCCCACGGGCCGAACAAAACCATACAGTGCAATGCTCGAAAAGTAAGCAATCATTACTTAGCATCAATTCCACTTCCAGAAAGTATGGCTGCACAACTCTCAATCCTAATCTTCCCCTATACACTAATTTATACAATTTTTTAATACACATTTTTTCATAAAAAGTCAAAAAATTAACCCAAACAATCTTATTTTTTTCTCAACTTTTTAATCTAAAAAGTCAAAAAATACACTTATTTAAGATACCTCAAACAACCCACCTTTTAGGTGCAAACAGAATCAAACCCCAAATGTGTATGGTCTACTAAAATAAAATTATATCAGCTAATGGAAAGAAATTCCCCAAGTGACCGATTCACTTGAGGACAGGAGCACGGCCCAAGTACATATGCTGGCCCAACCATGTATATTCGACGAATAGTGTCTGTCGACTAGATGGATATGCTGTTAAATTTAAAAAATATAAATTTTAATTTTAATTTAAAAGGTAAATTATAAATACACCTTATGAAATTTATTTAAAATACGAATTGTTCTCTGTGGTTTAGAAAATTACAAATATCTCTTTGTCAGAATTTTTTATTTAACAAAATTAATTGAAAAAGTAAAATTTCTAACTATTCACCTATACAATAATAAAATTATTTGAATTATTAATTGAAATAAAATTTTAACATTATTAAAAATTAATAATTAATTTGATGATTTATTAATAAAAGGACCTATTTATTATGAAATTAGAAACCTTAGGGGGCATAATATAGTTTTTAAAACCATAGGAAATAATTTGTAATTTAAGTAAATCTCAAAAGATGTGTTTGTAATTTACCCTAATTTAAAAGTAGGAAAAATTAGTCTAAAGTCCCTCTCCAATTTTTAGTAATGAAAGAGATCCACAATTTTATTTTGTGATGTCTAAGGTCCCTCAACATTACACCCATATATCACAGACAAATTTGACTCTACCAAATCAAAACTCATTTCTCTCTCTCTCTCTCTCACAACTTCTCCATTTTTAGACCTCTCTGATTCTGCCAAGAAATCTAATCAAAAATTGAATCAAAGTCCTCTACATGAATGGCTTGTCGATTCACATCCATCTTCAAACAACTCCGTACTCGATCACCATCATGATCTGTAACGTACATGCCCTGACCTAGAGATGGCGCTCTGAGAGCCATCACTCTGATTTCCGACAACGGAATCGGACCTCTGGTCACCAATGCCGTCGAGCAGGTCATAGAGGCAATACATGTGCCGGTGTACTTCGATCGCTACCAAGTCCGAGGCGACATGAAGAACGCGTCTCCGGAGGTGATTGAATTGATCCACAAGAACAAGGTGTGCTTGAAAGGAGGTTTAGGGTTTCTGAATCTAATGGATTAGTCACTAGCTCTTGGTCCTTCTTCCCCTACCTTGATTACTTGATTGGATCTACAACCACACCGGCCAAAAAGGCTCATTCTCCGCCGTCGGTGATGCCTTTGGTGTACCAGTAGCCGTCGCCAGGGCTGGTGGTCCAGCCGGTGGTGTTTCCTTAGAAACGGCTGTCTCCAGTAGTGGATGACTTATATTTTATGAGGAATTGGAGAAGCAAAGGCAGATGATTGAATTGAAGAAGTAGAGGATGCAATTCGCTAAAGATTTGAAGGTTAAGGGGATGCAGCTGTTCAAGGATACTCAGGTTCAGCTTGAGAAGATGAAGCAAGCTAAGTGGTCGAATTCGAATGGTGACAGAAAATGAAAATTTTGAGTTGTGAATTTCTCTGGGTTGAGTGATTTGGAAAGGGGAAATTTTTCTGATTTGAGTGAATTTTTTTAGGTTAGTGAGGGAAATTTCTCTGGTTTTGAGAAAAATTTTCTGGGTTGAAGTGAGTCCAGAGAAATTCTCAACTCAGAGAAACTTCAAAAGAACAGAATTTTGTTT